AGATGGGGAATAGCATTTAGGTTTTGGACTCACTTCAAGATTTTGGTACCTCAGCCTCAGTGACCCAGTCATTAAAAACACCCCCTACTTAAGGGTTAGTAAGAGCAAAACCAAGAGCTTAAGTTACCATCACTTCCCTATGACTTTTTTCCAATTTTGAAACTGTCAAAATTGAAGTTTAGTTTTAAAATTGGGTTTGCTAAAATGTAGGTGCCCAATAAGCTTGGGTTGAATGTCACATCTGTCAAATACAAAGCATGTTCCTTTCCCCAAAAGGAACTGGAGTTGCATTTCTGGTAAAGAGTGGCTTGGCTCAGAGAGTATTCCTCGTGACCTAGTTGGGGTGTGTCTTTGTTTAATGGCAAAATGTACACATCCCATAAAACACACACTTTAAGAGTGAAACCACTGTTTCTTGCAACACCTTTCAAACTCCAGTGAGGGAGAATTAACTGTGACCTTCAAGAAACGATCTTCTCCTCAAGGGAACTGTTTTTTTCTTTTATAGAAAATAAGCCCTCATGGTAATAGCTAAAAAACTCTGCTTTTTAAAAAGTCTTCCAAGAAAACCCAGTCTTCATTAAGAATAAAACTTCTGCAGGGCAGGGACCCATCATGCTCTCTGGAGGCCACAGAATGCTTTTCCTTTTCCAGAAACGATGGAGAGAACCATTACATCTAGCACACCTATAGTGAGGCACAAAGAAGCTTTGTGATCCACTCCGATGGAATTGGCAACTCTCCCTAATTATTTAAGAACAGAGAAAATTAAATCACTTGAGAACCCTAGAGTGGCAGCAAAGTAGAACCCATGAGATATCCTGCTGGCACGTTCAAAGACTTACCAAAAAGTCACCATCTATCAGCCCCTGTTGATGGCTTGGTAACAACAGAGAACAGTTTCGTTTTCTGCACATGCACGTGTATACACGCATCTGACTAAGAAGTTGGAGGGAGACCTCAATGACCAGCCATTTTATATTAGGGCCCAGGAAACAGGCAACCTCTTCCTTCCAACACGGTGGAGCCTCTATATTTTTTCCCCCACATCTAGAAATCTGTATTCTGAGATACACAGGACTACAAATGGATGACCAGACCTCCAGAATACCACCCAACCATTAGGAGTTAAACACCTTATAGCAAAATGCATTTTATGTGGAAAAGAAGGGACTCTACTCGGATTCTATAAAGCAGCTCTTCTCAAGTGGCATTCTTATTATGGACGGCCCCCACAATACAGGTCAGATTTCAGTAGAGAACACTAGCTTCCATTTCGGGGAAAGAGTTCACACGATCCTAAATCTCTCTGTCCAGCAACTTCTGAAGAGATGAAAGAAGGCAGAGAACTCTAGAAGTGTCCCTGTAAGAACACCACTTCCCATTTCTACGTTATTTGGCTTTTGTAAACACCATCTCATGAGACCACAACAGCGACCCGGCAAGGTAAGCAGAACAGGTATTATCTCCATCTTACAGGTGGAGAAATGGTGACTCTGAGGCTAAATGACTCACTTGCACAAGGTCACAAGACAGGCAGTTAACTAGCAGCCTAACCGCAGGAGGAGCCTAGCCCTCTGACACGCAAGCAGTGCAATTTCCATGACGCTATCCAGCTTCCTCATGTTTTAGGTTGAGAGGCAGTAGAGGGCAATGGCTAAGAGACCAGGTGGATTCTGATGCTGGCAGAGCTGCATTTCAATCCCAACTCTGCCACCTATTAGCTATCTGGCCTTGTGTAGGTTCCTTAACCTCCCTTTACACCTCAGTTTCTTCACCTGTAAAATGGGAATTAAAACGTTTTACCTCCTAGAGTTATAGTGATGATTAAATGAGCCGATGAACATACGGCACTCTAATTCATTCACTCAACAAATATTTGTGCCTGGCACATGGAGTGCAGGAGTTACAACGGTGGTCAAGAGGCACAGTCTTCCTCTCATGGAGCTTAAAATTTAGTCAACTTAAAACAGAAAGAGTAAATGGATAAATACAGTGTGTTAAGTGCTATTAAGGTAACAGGCGAGTGACTGGAGAGACCGACAGGAGGGAGCCAATTTTTAAGAGTGGTCTCTAAGGAGAAATTTAAGTTGAGCCCTAAGGGATCATAAAAGGCTATCCCTGGGGGGAATGGAAGGAAAAGCATTCCAGGCAAAGGAAATAGGGCGTGCAAGGGTCACAGCCCAGAGAAGGCAAATGTGACCGTGTGTATCCTCGCAGCATTTGGGCAGCAACTTTTACAGGCTGGCTGTATTTGTATTTTAAATTTTACAGGCTGGCTGTATTTGTATTTTAAAAATAACAAAGACAAGGCTCAAGAGAGGTGAGGTGTCTCGTCCAAGGTCACAGCTTCTCCAAGGAGGAGCTGAGACCCCAGTATTCTACCTCTTGACAAAACATCAGCTCGCGCCTTTTGAGGAAGCCTCTAGCTCATTGAACTCCCCCACTTATTTCACTGACAGCTGTTTTCTGAGCCTATGAAGAGTTCCAAAAGCACCTTGAAAACACAAGCAACGACATCACATCAACTTCCAGGCATCTAGTCAACTGTGCACTGAAATCCTCACTCTTCTACTCTTAAGACACAAGAGTGAAAACTGCTGGGACCTTCCCCAAGGCTCCAAAATTTCTCTTCTTACAGCAACAAACAAGAGAGGAAGGGGATGTCCTGGAAGGAAGAGCCTGTGGCCTGTTGCAGAAGGTGAGATAGAACCACCATTGCAGAAGAGCGGAAATATCAAAGTTCCTCTCAAATGAGCTGCACAGGAAAAACTAATTACTTTATTTGAATAAAACAACAAATCCCTAAGGAGGTGGTTCTCAATCAGGCGATACCCCGCCCCCACAAAGAGCACTTTGAAATCTGTGGGAGTATTGAGTGGGCAGGGCCAGGTATGTTCAATGTCCTGCAAAAGGACAGGATGGTCCTGTAACAACTATATTACCCAAAATATTAACAGCGCCCCCCATTTTAATATTAATCCCTCAAGGGATTAATATGCTCCAACTTTTCCTGTAGTCCCTGGTTCAGTGGCTCTTCCTAACCTCACTACAACTAGATTTTAAAAACTCGAGGTTTTATAGCTGAGGAGTCTGTTTTGGAATCCAATTTTAAGCTCATAGCTCCAGCATGGAACTTGTGGAATAAGGAAGTGGAATAAGGAAAAAGACGTTTCTAATAAGAGACAGACAAGAAATTTCAGCAAGGGAACTCCTTCTCCAGAGAAACCTCTATAAGATTACATTTTTGCAACACAAAATTTCTACTTGTGCTTTTTGAGAACCTCCTTACAGTACTCTTCAGCTTAAAATCAGACACTAATGACAGTTCTTTTAAAAACTTAACTACAATCATCTCAAAAATACACCTGACTCCTTCTGGACCAAATTTTATAAGAAATATTATTAAGTTCAAGATGTCTAAGGGAGGGAGATGCAAGAGGGAAGAGATATGGGGACATATGTATATGTATAACTGATTCACTTTGTTATAGAGCAGAAACTGACACACCATTGTAAAGCAATTATACTCTAATAAAGATGTTTAAAAAAAAAAGATGTCTAAAGCTGATCAAATGTCTAAAAGTACCAAAGGTAGTCATGCCTTGCATCTCATTCAGGGCAGAGTTGGATGCATGCAGGTCAGAGAAGCTCCAATGATACCTAGAGGTCTGTTCAGGGATTAAAATTCCATCCTAGCAAAAAAAAAAAAAAAAAAAAAATTTCCATCCTAGCAATTGAAAGCCACTTTCAAATGTTACCCTAAATTAGTCACTAATTCTCCCTAAAAATGATTTCACAATTATTTTAAAGAACTGAAAAAAAGATTAAGACTGTTTACAGAAATAGAGATACAAAAAGTCTACCCTATTTCACAATATCTAGAACAGTGATCCAACAAATAAATCCTCCATAAAGCAATCTTTCTTCTACACAATATCTAAATTTTCTGAAGTCTCCCAAAGGAGTATGAATATGTTAACTTCTTCACTGCAACTTGCCAATTAGCAAATAGCGGCCCCACACCCCTTCTGACCAATTTTCTAGAAGCCTAACCTGGCTTCTCAGGTTAGCTAAGCAGACAGACCTGTTTTCCTCCAGAAGCACCGAGCAGTGCCTTTTCTGCCCTGCCTGTTACAGCCTGGGAAATCCTCCTCCAGCTTTTCGCTGACCTGTCACCAGAAGTTCACAAAATGAATTCATCCAGGTTCTTTGAATCCTCCTTTCCCCCTGACATGTGCCAACAGTCAGGCAATAAAATGCCACCTCTTGGTTAAAAAAAGATGCAGAATACCCAGAAGACCAAGCACTTAGCATGGAGGGGGAGAAAAAAGATGGAGGGATGCAAGAGTCATTGAGCCAAGGCTACTGCATGCAGCACGGGTAACCAGGGCCCTGGTCCTGCAAAGCCTCCCAGGGAGGCTCCCGGCTGGGCCCTCCATCCAGCAGGCCACACCTGTCTATGACAGCAGTTGCTCCACTTTAAACAATTCAAACACATTTCCAGCAGGGTGGCAAAACTGGGCACCCGTCTCTCCCAGCAAGAGCAAGAGCCCTAATCCAAACACCACTTGGCCCCAATTTTTTCACACCCTTTGTTTAGGAGACACCGCTTGGTCAAATTGGATCCTTCTCTCTCTGTTACCGGTGAGGCAAGCACAATGCAGCAGTTGCAGAAAGAAAGCTTCGAGGCCGACTTGCGATAAGCCAGACAAGACCTGAGGATGGGGATGCCAGTGAATGAGACTTCAATAGGCATCCATAAGTGAACCAACACCTGAAGCCCTAATACGCCCGGCTCCGCAGCCTCTCAGAAAGCCTCTTTTCTAGAGGGTGGGTATCCCATTCATCCCTTGGCTTCAGAAACCAAGGGGAAGGCAGACAGATCCAGGTTGCGCACTCCACCTCCAAATCTTCGCACACGCGCGAAGGTGTGGGGCGCCCCGGCGCGCCCTCGCTTGCACTCCACCCTCTGAGGCCTCCACCAACCGCGGACTCACCACTGTGCGAGCTGAACCACCTGGGTGCGATGTGCAGAGGTAGAGCATCCGCCAGCGAGGCTCGGGAGCCCAGGTACAGCATCCCGTCTCTATGGTGACCGCCGCCCGTCTCCTGGTAACCATTGCCGTGGGCATAGGTGGAGTCGGACGCCGACCCTCCGCCGCCGGGCGCCCTCTCGGAGTCGCCGGTCCCCCGGGAGGCGGGGGTGTAGAGGCCAAAGGGCACCCCCCCGGCCGTGCTGGGGTCCATGCCCATGCCCGCCACCGAACTGACCGAGCGACTGCGCAGCCCCATGGCCCCGCCGCCCGCCCGGTAGTGCCCAAAGTGGGGCGCCCCTCCCGGCGGGGGCACGGCGCTGTCATCGGTGGAGACCCCCGGGAAAGGGCCCCGGGAGCGGGCCGCCGTGCTCTGCTTGCCCCCCATGCTCGCCCGGGCCCCGGTGGGGCGGGAACCTGGAGGCCGAGACCCTCCCCCACTTCTCAGCAGCGGGGGGAGGGTTGGGCGAGCATAAAGGGGGAGGGAGTCAAAAAAGGAGACCGGGAAAGAAAAAAGGAAAAAAAAGAAAAAAAGAAAAGAAAACCCGCGGGCGGAAGAGGCAGGCGAGCGGGGATCCCAAACTAAGAATTTAAAACGATCCAAGCCAAACGCATGTTTCCCCTCAAGGTCCAAAGAGGCGCAGTCCGGCGCGGGCTCGGCGCGCCACAGGCCGCCCCCGGGCCCCCGAAAGCCGGGGGAGCTGCAAGGAAGGAGGGAGGGAGGCGGCGGGCGAGCGGGCGGGCGGGCGCAGGGAGGCGCCCGAGGAGGCGGCCCGCCCGACAGCAGGAGGCGGAGGAGGGCTGGGGGCGCCGGGCGCGTCCCCCGCCTCAGGACGCCGCGACCATGGACGGCGACCCGGACCCCTCCAGGCCTCGGGCGGGCTGCGGCGCTGGGCAGCCAGGCGGAACTCGGGAAGCCGCGGTCGCGTGGCGTAGCGCTCTCGCTCCAGCCGCAGCCGCCGCCGCCGCCGCCTGCCCCGCCAGCCGCACCGCCCTGCTCGGTCCCGGGCTGCGCTCGCCGGCGCTCCTCGCCGCCGTGGAGACAATGGAGAGAAGCAGAGCGCAGGCGCCGCCCGCGCCCCCTCCCCCCCCCTCCCCCCCCCTCCCGCCGGGTTAACCCCTTCGCGGCCCCTGCAGCGCCGGGCTCTGACGCCCGAGAGGTCCCACCCACCCACCCAGCCCGCCTGGAAACTGACTGGCCTGAGACATGGGGCGTCAGGAACAGAAGCAAGGCGTCTTTCCAAAAAAGCCCTCTTTCAGCCCCTGAAAGTAGCTGATGATTCAGAGGGGAACCACCTATAGGGGGGAGGGGCGACCATGGTTCGAGGGGTGGGAAGGAAACGCAGGGAAGAATAAAAATTACTCTAGGCGCCTACCTGGCTTTGAGGGTCACTGGTCAAGCTCCCCTCCCGGCACAAATTTGCCCCCACAGCGCCCTCTGGTGGACGTGCTGTCCGTTCTATCGGAGTTCCCCATCCTAGAACCCCTAAAGTCAGGAAGCTTAGCATTTGGGGGATTTTGTTTTTCGGGGGTACTTTTCACTGGGGCACTTGTGACTCCAGATTTTGCTGACAGTAGATCAGAACTTCCTATTTGGGGCTTAAGCAAATGGGTAGATTTCTTAGCTAAAATGTGATCCTGAAAATCATTAGATGTACGATAAAAAGTGAAAAGATATAGACATGGAAATGGAATAATACAGCTAGAACTAGTGATTTTAGAAACTCCCTAGTCCAAGGCGGGACCCCTGTTTTGTTTACCATTTATCCTGGCATGCACCACAGGGCCTGCGACACAGTAGGTACTCAATAAATATTTGCTGACCAAGTCTGCACTTCGGAATATGTATCTCTCACATATTCACACTCACTGATTCATCGTTCGTTCATCCATTCATTGGTTCAACAACTATTTTTCAAGTGCTGAGTGCTGGCTATGAGCATCACCCAGTCCCTGGCCTGACTTCCTTGCCCTAAATGTCCTCCAGATACTTCCAAATCAAGGAGCCAAAACAGGGTGTAAAGAAATATTAAAACCAAAAAAAGAAAGGTTGATCTGTCACAGGTATTGATTGTCCCAGTGTGACCAGCTTGGAAAGAAACAGGAGGAAGGCTATGTGCAAGCATGGAGTGCTTTTGAGGGCAGGGGAGGCAGTGAGCAAAAAGCCCTGCCGAAAGAAGTTGAGATTTCTGTATGAGAAATGATGTAGCAAAAACAGAATGTTTTAATACCCAAGAAGTTATCTGTAAGTGCCTAAATGGGGAATTTGTATACACCTAAGATCCAAATACGTGATCTGAAGAAAAACAAGAAAGTTTAAATTTAACCCAATTTCCTCCCTGAAGAAAGAAGTGGGGTATTTCAGTACCATGCAGAAAAGAGGATACTAGATCCCTTGACAGATGTCTATTGGGGAGATAAATATATAATCAATAAGTATTGTAACCATCTAACTAGCGTTTGATTTTCCTATTCATTCAACACTTTTTTTTTAATGTTGAACAAAATATGAATTTCTTTTTTTTTTTTTTCTGCTGCGTGGCACAGCTTGTGGGATCTTAGTTCCCCAACCAGGGATCAAACCTGGGCTCTGGCAGTGAAAGCACGGTGTCCTAACCACTGGACCACCAGGGAATTCCAAACATATGAATTTCTAGTAAGTGCCAGGCACTGCACTAAGTTCTAGGATACGATAGTCAGAAAGACATATAGAGTCTTGTTCTCATAGGGCTTCAGAAGAAACACTAACCTAAATGTCCATCAACTGATGAATGGATAAACCGAATGTGGTATATCCATACGATGGACTGTTATTCAGCCATAAAAAGAATAAAGTGCTGATACATGCTACAACATGAATGAACCTTGAAAACACTAAGTAAAAGGAGCCAATCACAAAAGATCTTATATTGTCTGATTCTACTTACATGAAATGTCTAGAATAGGCAAATCCATTGAGACAGAAAGAAAGCCTGGAGGGAGGCGAGAATGGAGAATGACTGCTACTGGGTTTCTTTTTGGAGTGGTGAAAATGTTCTGGCATTAGATAATGGTGATGGTTGTATAACCTTGTAAATATACTAAAAAAGAAAAAACAACCCACTGAATTATACACTTAAAAGTGTGAATTTGATGGTTTATGAATTACAGTGCAGTAACATATATATATATATATATATGAAGTATCAAAGGAGGCAGTGACAGTACAGTGTGGTAAATAAGCCTAGAACAGGGACTTCCCTGGTGGTGCAGTGGTTAAGAATCCGCCTGCCAATGCAGGGGACATGGGTTCAATCCCTGGTCCGGGAAAAATCCCACATGCCACGGAGCAACTAAGCGCGTGTGCCACAACTACTGAGCCTGCGCTGTAGAGCCCACAAGCCACAACTACTGAAGCCCCTGTGCCTAGAGCCTGTGCTCCACAACAAGAGAAACCACTGCAATGAGAAGCCCATGCACCGCAACGAGGAGCAGCCCCCACTTGCCACAACTAGAGAAAGCCCGCGTGCAGCAACAAAGACCCAACACAGCCAAAAACGAATAAATAAAATTAATAAAAAAAAAAGCCTAGAACAGTGCCTGGCAAGTACGTGACACTCAATAAATGTTTGTGAAATGAATGAATGAATGACTAAGTGCTATGAGAGTTCAAGACCATGGTGCTGATGGAAGGAGACAGGCACAGACACAGTGATTCTAAGCCAAGACCTAAAAGATGAGTTGGAGATTAGCCAGGGAAAGCAGGGTGGAGGTGGGGCATTAGCTGTGTTTCAGGAAGAGAAGAATGTTCCAAGCAAAGGGAACAGCACGTTCAAAGGAACTGAAAGACGCAGTAGAGCTGCAAAGAGAGGAAGTGGTCCTCAGAAGCTGACAAGAGGGTCCAGGGAGCCATGGGAAGGAGCATGGACCGTATCCTGAGGGGATGGGGAGCTGTGGAAAGATTTATCAATATCATTATCATTAAAAATAATGATTAATAAGGCCAATTATTAATGAAGATTCCAACTTGGAAAATTAAGAAACTTATCCTCTCCCCAAATAAAGATCTATATTTTTCTTTGCTTACATATTCATAAAGATACTGGATGGAAACATGAAACAACATAGTGTAGTCCCTTGGGGGGGTGGGCAGTAGGAACTGGAGAGCTGGGTGAGAGGATAGATGGGAAATGTTTCATTTCATTATATACCTTTTTGTATTTTAGTGTTTCAACCATGTAAATTTAAATAGAGAGAGAGAGAGAGAGAAAGAGATAGAGGTATATAGAAAGTGTATACCACATGCTTTAAGACTTCATCTTCCAATGCAGGGGGTGCGGGTTCGATCCCTGGTCGGGAAGCTAAGATCCCACATGCCTTGCGGTCAAAAAAACAAAATATAAAACAGAAGCAATATTGTAACAAATTCAATAAAGTCTTTAAAAATGGTCCACATCAAAAAAAAATCTTAAAAAAAAGGATATACCACATGGACACTGAAAAGTCATACAGCTGGAAGGAGCAAAGCTGGACTTCTAAGCTTTACAGTGAACATGCCCATCAAGGAATCTTTGCATGACAATTTCATTTTCTCTCTATGCTTTCCAACGGGGTGAAAAAGATTAGATCTGCTTAACAGCTCTATTTCTTTTTGTATATTAATAATTTGCCTTTAAGTTGTATATTCCAATCTACTATCATAAGCTAGTCTCTCTCACATCTGGCACCATGTAATTCCCCCAGACTTACATTTTTCAAGGTGATGTTCAAAACCGGGGTTTTGCACCATTGTTATGCACTGACATTGTAAAGGCAAATGGCTTTGGCAATGCTGATTTGTTTTTAAATTGAGGTATAGGGACTTCCCTGGTGGTCCAGTGGTTAGGACTCTGTGTTTCCACCACAGGGGGCCCGGTGTTCTATCCCTGGTCAGGAAACTAGGATCCCGCATGCCATGCAGCATGGCCAAAATAAATAAATAAAGATATTTTAAAATTGAGGTATAGTTGATTTACAATATTATATGTCAGGTGTATACCATAGTAATTTGCAATTTTTAAAGGTTATATCCATTTATAGTTATTATAAAATATTGGCTACAGTCAATGCTGATTTTATCAGCTCTTTCTCCTGACTATTCTGGTAGGTGGGTTAGTGATTTATTAACCCTGTTTCACAGCTGAAGGAGAGCCACGAAGCAGTTCGCCCAGGGTAAGTGAGAGCATGAAGATAAAAAATAAAACAGAGGTCCCAAGTCTAGCTGGGGCCGTTCTTGCATCTGATATCCTTGCATCAAGAGAGTCCAGAATGCGGACTTCCCTGGTGGTCTGGCAGTTAAAACTCTGACTTCCACTGCAGGGGGCACAGGTTCGATCCCTGGTTGGGGAACCAAGATCCCACATGCTGCGTGGTGTGGCCAAAAAGTAGAAAAAATAAATACATTAAAAAAAAAAAAAAAGAGTATCCAGAATGACTTGCCACTCTCTCCAGACCTGTTAACTTTAAACCAAGAACCCACAGGAGAAACTTGGAACAAAATACGTACAGGGCTCTTGATGAAACAAACGATGAAATGAAACAAATCTGAGGCTTCAAGTCTCAGTGGATGCCTGTTGTTATGCCATGAGTCCCTCTTTCTAAGATGTAAAGGACAGAATCAAGCTACTGAATGATTGAACTTTCCCTGCTCTGTATCTTAATATTTTCATTTCAGGGGGAAATTTGTCATATGAATAACTGCACAAGGAGATAACAAGGGCATTGCCTGAGAAAGGCTGCCACTCGAGGTCCCACAGGCCACCTAAATTTAGTGTCATCACATTGCAGAGAGCAGGGGCTTCACCTTTGTAGATCAGGCTCTCAGCTGATCAGGCTCTCACAGCAACGAAGAGTAGCCCCCGCTCGCCGCAACTAGAGAAAGCCCGCGCGCAGCAACAAAGACCCAACACAGCCAAAAATAAATACATTTTTTTTGTGTGTGTGTGGTACGCGGGCCTCTCACTGTTGTGGCCTCTCCTGTTGCGGTGCACAGACTCCGGACGCGCAGGCTCAGCGGCCATGGCTCACGGGCCCAGCCGCTCCGCGGCATGTGGGATCTTCCCGGACCTGGGCACGAACCCGTGTCCCCTGCATCGGCAGACGGACTGTCAACCACTGTGCCACCAGGGAAGCCCCAATAAATAAATTAAAAAAAAAAATGTAAGTCTGGGACTTGAAGTGTTCAGAAAATGGGGGAAATGGCTTGTTAGGGCCTACTCCTGGGAAATAGCCAGGGTGGGGATGGCATGGACGAATATCTCCAAGTAAGAAACTTTCTCCCAGGCCTCTCATAGCTCTTTAGGTTTTTAATCGTTTTGCTTGAAAAGAGAAAATGTAAATAGAGAAAATCAGGGTAATGGTCAACCAAATGCATATAGCAAGGAGCCAGAGCATGTGGGCACATCCACAAATATTTGTTGATTGATGAAAAGAGGGAAATTACTGGTAGAGCTCAGGGCAGGGTTCCAAGATTCCCAGATGTAGAGAGACTGAGGGGTCAGCTAACTCCACATTCTACAGAAGAGGAAACAGGGGACCAGAAAGATAAAGGATCCTGCTCAGACTTGCAAGGCTAGCTGCTGATAAGAGCCAGCCAGAGCCCTGGATTTCTGGGTTGGCCACAGACCCTTCCTTCCTGTGGCGTGGCTAGCAAGTGACCTTCTGAAAAGACATTGTTTGGTGATAAGGGCTCTGTGGCCTGGTCAGCAAGTTGAGGTCTGCTTGACAAGGGACACCTCAATGGTCTCCAGTCTCTTACTCAGGATATTCATATGCAGATCTCAGGGGAGCACACTAGTGAAGAAGCAAGCAGAGAGCTCTAGACTTAGCTCTGGAATCCTTACTCTTTCGTGGTGACAGCGTGGGTGGGAGACGGAAAGAAGGGCTGAGGAGGAAATTAGAAAGGGGCTCATGGTCCCTCCCTCAAAAATTCTACCTTGCCTTTTTCACATTCAAGAAACAAGACACTGGGAGAACAGAGAGAACCAAGGATTTGAAACCCAAAGTACTTTCTGTACCTAATAACCATGACAAGCAGATTTTGAGAACTAGACAAAAATGAACTAAAGAGGTGGGAGTGGGGGAGGGTTGCAGAAATGCTCGGGCAGGGGCAGTCCTACTGGTTTTAGTGGGAAAGGAATTACTAAGCTGTATATAGACAGAGAACTTTGAAATCTCTCTCTCTACCTCTATCTCTATCCAAAATAAAACTTCAAAGCCTAAGCAGGACCCTTCCTTAATAGCCCTTTTCAACTTTTCTAGCTGTACTTTTTGTTACATCCTGTCACCTACCCTAAGTTACAGTTGTACCTGACTATTTGCTAACCACTCATTCAGTGGATATTTATTGAGCACCTACTACATCCTAAGCAACAGGCAAATAAATAAGAATATGAGGTGTTAAATGAATTGATTCATTTATTCCTATGTGATGGCATAAGCATACCTAGAAACTATTCTTTATCTTTCCCTCTCTGTGCCCTTGAACGTGGCTTGCAGTTTTTCCCCTTCCTGGCCCTCTGAGCTGAGGCCCTTCTCTCTAGAGCAGTCTTTGGCATTTTTGGTGGAGAATTGGGAAGAAACTGGAAGGCAGGAAGAAAAGCCAGTGCAGGAGTGTGGAGGCCAGGGCTGGAGGAAATTTTTAAGGGCTGTGTTGTGTGAGTATAATAACTGATAGATGAATGAGAAAGAAAGCAAGGGATTTTACGGAGAACTATTGGTGATTCTGTATTTCTTTCTGGGTGTAAAGAACTACAAGTAAAGACCATGAATAGTTTTAGAAATTGCTTTTGGTTTCACAGAGAGCATCCTTTGGATGTAGACAGCGCTGTGCGGGCATGATATATGCTTTTCGCATTTATTCATTGGACCAATATTCATGGAGTGCCATGTATGTGCGGTCGCCATGCAGGGCTGAACAAAACAGACCTGGTCCCTCTCCTCCTAAAACTTGAAAATATTCAATAAACAAATATTGAGTTACATATTGTGATGTGTATTTTGAAGGAAAGAAAGAAGCACAGTGTCGTGAGTGTTAACTGGGGAACTGCTTTATGTCTTTGGAACACATCATCCTGCTCTTCACACTTTTTGATGCTGAAGTACTTTTTCTGATAGTGGACTCTATCAAAAATCCTAATAATATACTGAAAAGCTCAAATGTCACGGTCTTCAGGATGCTATGTCATGTCTCCCATTTAAGCTGTTCTCTCCTGGCACGTTGCTTTTATAAAACACAATTCTGCCGAGTGTATACCTGTTGTACAGTGACCAACTGTCTCTGTTTGCCCACATTGAGCAGCTTCCTGGCATGAGTTGGTCACCCTAACCTGTTGACAAGTCTGTCTTCCCCATTATATCCAACACTCTAGGAGGGAAAGGAAGCCTTCTTATCTCTATTCATGCAACAACTTGCATGTAGAAATAGAGTTAATATTAACAACAATAATAATAGCTTACACTTGAGTGTTGACTATATTCCAGGCCCTATGCTTGCTTAACTCCTTGCAACAAGCAAACAAACTTCTTCCTTCTATAGAGAAACTGAGGCTAAGCCAGTTAAGCCCAGGATTTGAGAGGCTGGGGCTGAAAAAGAGAACCTCTTAATCACCACTCCCTGTACTAGCACAGCAGTCCTCCAACTTTTTGATCTCAGGTTCTCTTTACACTCCTAAAAATCATTAATAACCCTCCAGAACTTTTGTGTGGGAGATGTCTAGTACATCAGAAATTAAAACTGAGAACTTAAAAAATATATATTTTATTTAAACATCAATGTGCATTCACATCAATAACACATTTTGTAAGTAAAAAATAACTATTTTCCAAAATAATGGTTTTGTGAGAAGAGTGGCAAATCCCTTTAATGTCTGGCTTAACAGAAACCCACTGGATTTTCACATCTGCTTCTACGTTCAATCTGTTACTAATATGTATCATGTAGCCTCTGGAAAACTCCATTGTACACTGGTGAAAGAAAATGAAAAAGGCAAATAACTTCTTTGTATGACTATGAAAATTGTTTTGCCTTCGGAGATCCCTTGGGTCCTTGGATACTTTGGCAGGCGCCGCTGTACTGTATAAAACAATTCACTCTTTCCAATGCCTTTGTGGCAGGCCTCAGGGGAAGAGGTAACCACTGGTTTGCACTAATGTCGGGCTTTGGTTATATACGGCCTGGGCCTTGCGAAGGACACCAGCGAGGAGACAGAGAGGTGCCTCCCCTCGTCCAAACCTTAACCTGCAAGCTCTTCGCGGATTGCCCACAAGTGGCTAGACCTTGGCCTACAACTCCCGGCAGAGCTCGCGGCAGGGGGCGTGTATTCACAGGCGCGAGGAGCGTGGGTGACTCTAGCCGAGTGACGAAGTAAGGGGGCGTGTCTGTTTTGGGGCAGGCTCGGTGCCGCAATTGGATAATCCGGGAAGAGGGGGCGGAGCCAGTGTTTGGGTCAGCCAATGGTTTGCAGCCAGACGGAAGGGGGGACGGGGCGTGGCTGGACTGGCTCGGGGCTGCGTGGGGCTCACCGAACCCGGGAACGCGGGTGTCGTGGGTGGGAACGCGTAGTCCTGGGACCGCCGAGTCTGGGCGCGGGAGATGGCGGCGCGATGGAGCAGCGAGAACGTGGTGGTGGAGTTCCGCGACTCCCAGGTGAGCTCGGGGCCTAATGGAGCCTTTTAAGCATGCGCCCTTCCTGGTTCCCCTCCCCCACGCTGCCGGGTCGTTCTTGGGGGCGGCGGGGCGACCCCCAGTCCGGGCTGGAGAGATGGGCAAGGGAGTGACCCGGACCTGTCAGACCCAAGCGGGTGAGGGGATCCTTGATGACCGTTGTGGGTGTTTGGGGCTGGCATGGGCGGGGTTTCGGGGTTCCCCTCGTGGATACCGGGAGTGGCGTCTCCCTGGGGACATCGAACTGCAGAGATTGCGCGCTACTGAGCGCTGAGGGGAGGCTTCCCATGACCACGGTGGTGAGCGAGGGGGTTTAGGTACCCCTGCGCCTAGTGACTTTGGGCAAGTCGCAGAACTTATTTGAGCCTCAGATGCATGGACTTAACCCTGCCTCACAGGTCTTTGGAGTGGATTCGATAAAAAAAAAAAACTGCATGCAAAGTGCCTGTTTCGCGCCTAAGCTTTTAAGTGGTTACTGATGCTAGGATAGTGGAAAATACCGTAGGTGAATAGGAGTATGCACTGCATGTATTGCCCGCGTTCGAATCCCGCCTCAGCTCTTAGCCTGTCATCACCCTCTGCGCATGTTTTCTCACCTGTAAGAGGTGCGAATCGTACCTACCTCATAGGGTTGCTGTGAGAATTTTGAGGTCATACATTTAGAATGTGTGGCACAGTGCTGGACACATAGTAATCCCAAAGGAACGCTAGTATTTACTAGGAATTTTTACCATTTTTCTATTTCATTCCTTCCATATGCCGGGCCTTGTGCTAAGTGATCTACATTTCCTTTTTCTAATTCATGAAAGAACCATGCTAGATAAGTAGATTTTTTTTTTTTTCCCCAACAGGGAAGCTGATCCCCATTTGTCTGATCCCAAGTGACTTGGCCAAGGCCTCCCATTATGTGGTCGCATTGGGATTTGAACACAGGCGTCTGGCCCCAGGGCCTTGTTGTGCTCATTACACTACTCTGCTTCATACTGTATGAGCCTGTCATACAGTCGTTTTACAATAAATATCATGCCCCCCTTTCCCCAGCACCTAGGACAGTGTGTTGGTGATTCTCTTCATGTATCGAACACATAATTTATTGAATACCTTCAGTGTGCCAGACTTTCATTCAGTCATTTTTTCAGTAAGGGTTTATTGAGCTTTTGACAGGTGCACACTGTACCAGGCACTGTGTTGGTGCGCAGGTGATTTATACTGAAGGGGAATCTGGATTTACGATAAGGGGGTGATGTGGTTTCTTCTTTCTAAAACCTATCCCTTCTTTTGCCGTAAAGATGCATGAGGGGAGAACTTCCCACCAATTTGCTCTATGGCTGCCCTTGATACATAGTGCCCATGGAGAGTTTGAGCAACCGCATTTGGGTGAAAGGATCCTAAAGCACTTTGCACTGTCAGCATGGTGTCTCTGGGAGGAAGAAAGATGCCAGACTCCCAGGGGAAAAGAACCATATTCCTGTTACCCTTTTTGTTAATTGCTTTCACTGGGGACTAAGAAAAGAATCATGTGTCCTACCTCTGAGCTTGGTAATTTGGAAGCTACTAATCTGCAAACCCTTTAATTTTCACAGAAACCCAGGTAGTCTCACCCCTGCTTCTCTACACGGATGTAATTGAAAAGACCTGCAGAGAGGGTGTTGACACATATATTAGGATGCTATGAAGTCGTATCAAATAATTAAACCTAAACAGCAGTTGTCATAGTAAGAGAACAAACTAAATTGGGTAATTTAACTGCCTTGTGGGAGTTTCTGTTTTTCTTTCTGATTTTTCTATTCATTTGGAAGGGTGAGTCTTAGTGTGAATTAGTATGGTTTTGTAGTTGATTTTGGTGATCACTGGGAGGGGTAGGGACTCATTTTATTAACTATTTCATTAATGTAGAAAGAAAAAGTTAAAACTCTTCACACCGCCTTTCTGAAAAGGCAGAACAATAAACTTTTCCAAACAGCCCACCACCCTTTTTTTTTTTTGACTGCATTGGGTCTTCGTTGGTGTGACCCCACCACTTTTAAAAATCATTTAAAAAATTTAAAGCTTTTAGGTTTTTCAGAGAAAAACCCCAGTCTGAAAGGTGTAACTTTTTTGCATTTTATATGTGTCATTTACTTTATAAAACAGATGTTACTTTCACCGATTAATAGTGAGGAAGCTGTGCTGCTTGGCATCTACTCTGAAGTGGTCCCTGGAATCGATGAGTGTGAATGCTAAGAAAGCTTAGCGATAGTTTTCTAGAGCAACACCATCCACTAGAACTTTCTGAGATGATGGAAATGTGGCTCTTCAACACTTGAAATGGGGCTAGTGTGACTGAAACAGTGTTTTGTGTTTTTTTTTTCCAGTACGTGGGCCTCTCACTGTTGTGGCCTCTCCCATTGCGGAGCACAGGCTCCAGACCTGCAGGCTTAGCGGCCATGGCTCATGGGCCCAGCCGCTCTGTGGCATGTGGGATCTTCCCAGACCGGGGCACGAACCCGTGTCCCCTGTATCGGCAGGCGGACTCTCAACCACTGCACCACCAGGGAAGCCCGAAACAGTGTATTTTAATTAATTAATTAATTAAAAAATAAATTTATTGTATTTATTTATTTTTGGCTGCGTTGGGTCTTCGTTGCTGCACACGGGCTTTCTCTAGTGGCGAGCGGGGGCTACTCTTCGTTGCGGTGCTCAGGCTTCTCATTATGGTGGCTTCTCTTTGTTGCAGAGCATGGGCTCTAGGTGTGCAGGCTTCAGTAGTTGTGGCATGCGGGTTCAGTACTTGTGGCTTGCTGGCTCTAGAGCACAGGCTCAGTAGTTGTGGTGCACGGGCTTAGTTGCTCAGGGGCATGTGGGATCTTCCTGGACCAGGGCTGGAACCCATGTCCCCTGCATTGGCAGGTGGATTCTTAACCACTGCGCCACCAGGGAAGTCCTTTTTTTTAAAATTTTTTTTTTTTTTTTTGGCTGTGTTGGGTCTTAGTTGCAGCACGTGGGATCTTCGTTGAGGCAGGCGGGATCTTTTGTTGCCGTGGGTGGGCTCTTCATTGTGGTGTGCGGGCTCCTCTCTAGTTGTGGCGTGTGTGTTTTCTCTTTAGTTGTGGTGCGCAGTCTCCAGAGTGCATGGGCTCTGTAGTTTGCAGCACGTGGTCTCTCTAGTTGAGGCTCCCAGGCTCAGTAGTTGTGGCACGCAGGCTTAGTTGCCCCGCGGCATGTGGGATCTTCGCTCCCTGACCAGGGATCGAACGCGTGTCCCCTGCGTTGGAGGGCAGATTCTCTACCACTGGACCACCTGGGAAGTCCCAGCACAAGATATCTTAACATTTGTATGTGTCCTTTTCAATTTCTTTCATTAATGTTTTATAGTTTTCAGTATACATGTCTTTCACCTCCTTGGTTAAATTTATTTCTAGGTTGTAAATGGGATTGTTTGATGCAATTGTAAATGGGATTGTTTTCTTTATATCTTGTCCTGATGATGTATTAGTGTATATTAGTGTATAGAAATGCTACAGATTTTTGTGTATTAATTTTGTATCCCACAACTTTATTTAATTCGTTTATTAGTTCTAACAGGTTTTTGATGGAGTCTTTAGAGTTTTCTGTATTTAATGTCGTGTCTTCTGCAAATGGTGACAGTTTTACTTCTTCCATTCAAATTTTGATACCTTTTATTTCTTTTTCTTGCCTAATTTGCTCTGGCTAGGACTTCCAATACTGTGTTGAATAGATGTGACAAGAGTGGGCATCCTTGTCTTGTTCCTGATCTTAGAAGAAAGGCTTTCAGTTTTTCACTGTTGAGTATGATGTTAGCTGTGGGCTTGTCATATATGGACTTTATTATGTTGAGGTATGTTCCCTCTATATTTACTTTGTTGAGAGTGTTTATCATAAATGGATGTTGAATTTTGTCAAATGCTTTTTCTGCATCTATTGAGATGTTCATATGATTTTTATTCTTCATTTTGTTAACGTGGTGTATCACATTGACTGATTTGTGGTTATTGAATCATCCTTGCATCCAAGGAATAAGTCACACTATGATCCTTTTAATGTCTTGTTGAATTCAGTTTGCTAATATTTTGTTGAGGATTTTTGCATCTGTGTTCATCAGGGATATTGGCCTGTAATTTTCTTTTCTTGTGATGTCCTTATCTGGTTTTGGTATCAGGGTAATACTGGCTTCATAAAATGAGTTTGGAAGAGTTCCCTGCTCTTACGGTTTTTGGAAAAGTTTGAGAAGGTTTGGTATTAAATCTTTGGATGTTTTGTAGAATTCACCAGTGAAGCTCTCTGGTCCTGGACTTTAGTTTGTTAGCAGGTTTTTGATTACTGATACAGTCTTTTTTTTTTTTTTTTTTTTGCAGTACGTGGGCCTCTCACTACTGTGGCCTCTCCCGTTGTGGAGCACAGGCTCCGAACGCGCAGGCTCAGCGGCCATGGCTCACGGGCCCAGCCACTTCGCGGCATGTGGGATCTTCCTGGATTGGGGCACAAACTCGTGTCCCCTGCATCAGCAGGTGGACTCCCAGCCACTGCGCCACCAGGGAAGCCCTGATTCAGTCTTTTTAATAGTAATCAGTCTGTTCAGATTTTCTGTTTCATCATGATTCAATCTTAGTAGATTGTAAGTTTCTAGGAATTTACCCGTTGCTTTTAGGTTGTCTAGTTTGTTGGTATATAATTGTTCGTAGTAGTCTCTTATGATGCTTTGTATTTCTATGGTATCAGTTGTACTATGTCCTCTTTCATTGCTGATTTTATTTCAGCCCTCTCCCGATTTTTCTTGGTGAGGCTAGCCATAAGCTTGTCAATTTTGTTTATCTTTTCAAGGAACCAGCTCTTAGTTTCATTGATCTTCTCTATTGTCTTTTTTTTTTTTTTTTTGGCTGCTCCATGTGGCATGCGGAACTTCCCCGACCAGAGATCAAACCCATGCCCCCTGCATTGAGAGTGTGGAGTCTTAACCACTGGACCGCCAGGGAAGTCCCTGT